TAAAGTTGATCTATTTATAGATCTATGCTTAAAATGGATGTAATATCCATTCAATTTTTAACAAATTGCCCCCTTTTTCCATCAGTCGGTACTGTGGCGCTATTTAATACCAGCTTACATGTACATGTACATGTAGTTGGGCAATTGAGTCGATTGCATGGGATGCCAATTTCAACTTTAGATAATTTCACAGAAACAGAACAAGATTCATGCAATAAAAGCAGCACTTTTAATGTGTTGAGACGATATTATACATCCATGTACAAGTTGTAAATGGCTGCCAACAACTTATAATCGCAAGCCCTTCACCAGCAACATGTACACAAGTATCTCTACATCTACTGTAGTAAGCTTGTACATCAAGATCTCTCTCCATCCCTCCCTGTCTGCCATCTTTTCTCATCATCCTCAAAATCTTAATACTCGTACTAACAGATCGTGACTGAAATCATCAACTCTCAGTGGATCCAGCCAGCAGGTCAAAGAGACACACCATGAATCTCACCAAGGCACAGTCATCAGGTATTCAGGTATCATATCAAGCAGCGGGGCTGGGCGCATTCTCCAGCACCACCATCTTATATCAAGGCTAATTATCCCCTCAGTGCGAAACCATTCTCTCTCTCTCTCTCTCTCTCTCTCTATCGCTAACCCTCGTTCCCGATAAAAACATATTAATTACTCAACCCTCTACCATTCTGCCATTACAGTTTACACACATCTGCCTTTTCTTGAGAGAACCTAATCCTATAATTAGATTGAAATGAACAAGAGCTAGGCCAGAGAAACAAATAGTAATGATAGTGGTGGAGTGCAGCCTGCTATGAACACAGCTGTTGCGAAATTTACGCTGTAGGCCTCCCTATTGATTTTTACCTGCAAAGGTTAGTACCAGAAACATTGTTTATGTTTGGGGTTTATTTTGGGAATATGACCAACTCCTTTGGGTGGACAATTTTTACAATTTACATAGTGCATTGCAAACTTGGAAAGTTATATTTACATACATGTACAAGTATACTGTATAAACTAAGTGTAAACAAGTTACAAAGAAAAAGAAGATACAAATATCATAGGAAAGTAATATTTACTTGCGGTCTTTACATGGTGGTTTACAAGAAAAATTAAAAACGTAAACAAAGTAGGCCCCCCATGTACAGTACATGTAGGCTTTGTGCATTGTATCTCTCATACATTAATTACACTGTAGCCTATATAAATTAATTGTCTTCCTCTTCAATTTCTTTCTAATTCCTTTCAGATCATACTAGGCTGACACACCCTGTACTGTGCAAAAGTTGTCTAAACCAACACAACAGCTGAAATACTACTGTGTACATGTACAGGTACAGTATGTATTTCTTTCAATTTTCTGCATCATTTCAATAAATTTATGTTTGCACTAAAGATTAGATGTGTCATGACACATTCCATGTATTGTAGGCCTTGAACATTTATACCAGAAATTTGAATTTTATAAGCATATTTCAGTCTCAGTGGGGAAAAAAATAGTATACGTTTGTACATGAATGTATCAACCATTCAGTTCCATACACTGTATGACACTGTAACACATCATAACAGAAATGACTGGCTGCCTAATTGATTACATCCAAATTAAAAATATATTTCCTGTTTTCAAATGCTCGCAGGATAGAGCACCCTTTGAGAGGTCAGTAGAAATTGTTGGTTCGGCATGACTTGACAGAATACTTCAATAATATATTGAGCAATCAGCTGGAAATTACCATTTATGTGAGTTTCCAATGACAACGACCTCTGTGGTTTAGTGCCTCTGTGCATCCTTAATTGATTAGAACAAACAAGAATGATTACTCAACACATATAACTCTGGAGATTGACTGTAAGTGATAAGGAAGGTAGATGCAATTGTCTCAAGTTTGAAAAGCCAATCAACAACCCCATAAAATTTTGTTTACATGTACAGTCACACCTGTCTATAGCAACCATCCAAGGGAAACAGAAAAAGTGGTCTTTGTCGACAGGTTCCTTTAGTGCATGTTTCAATGAGAAACCCTTTTCAAGGGGGAAAAATGTGGTCTTTGTTGAAGGGTGGTCACTTCTAAAGCAGGTTTGACAGTACATTGCTCAGAATGCCACTCTTCCTTTGAAACAAGAATTATTCTTTAATGTTTGTATAAATACTACTGTACAATAAAGATTAACAAGGATGGTACAGTGTGGTATTAAATTAATTGTATCAACTTTGAAAAGGCAATCAACAGCCCTATAAATACAAATTACATGTTTTATGTTTACATTTCCAGCTCTTCTATTTTTGTTTAAAGATTCTGAAAGGCTTACTGCTGTACCATGGAGATTAACTGTAATTGATATGGGTGGTAGAAGCACTTAAACAGTTTGGAAAGCCAATCAACAACCCTATTAATAAGGCACATGTACATGTACATGACTTTTGTTTACACTGCCAACTCTTCTTTTAAGTGGGTGGTGACATGTACAATGTACATAAAGTACCACTACCAAAACCCACTTGTCATCTAGGATATTGAGACAGAAATAGAGTCTGAAAACAAAAATTATATATCATGTTACAGAATTGGGACAAAAAGAGGGGGTGTGCATACAAAGTGGTGTGTGCATGCTATTAAAGGGAGGTACAAGTGTACATTGTACATACTCTCCAGACAGAGGGCCTGCACATGCACCTCCTGCGCCCAATGGTTATGCCATGTTTTTAAGTTGATCACTTCCCCCCTCAACTTTGCACCCATCCTCAAATGTTACCACCATCTAGTATAATTTGCATTTTCAAACTAAACCTACTACTTTTATTATTTATTTATTTTTTCTAGTTTATTAGAATGTGTACCAGATACATGTACATGTATGTCAGCTTGTGTTTGGCTTTTTGTCATGGCTTTCTACTTGCATTTTCAAACATGTAACATGTTTAGATAAATACATGAATATGTACAGTATTACATAACAGATTGTCCAAACAATAATGCTTCCTCATCCATTAAATTTAAGTTGCAACATTGCAATCTAAATCCTATTACCTCTTCATGGAAAACCTCACAATAAGATTTGTAAAAAGGAGTTAAAAGTGATTAGCCTACTTAGTGGAACAAAAGAAGAAATAAACACACTTCTTTGTACAAATGTACATGCAACCACCAATACCCTACTGTACATTAGATGTACACAGTAGTTCCACGCTCCAAAACAAACTTTGCCCATGAATTGCTGTACATTGGTGCAGAGGGAAAGGTTTTATATCATATGTGCTTCGGCCTTTATCAGTAATGATATGTAAGGATCGGTACTGAGAAGAAAACCGAAAGGGAGAAAAAATGGAGAGGGAAGAAAAAGAAACCAGGGGAAAGCTAGCACACACAAATCTGTGAGCTTCCTAACAAATAAAACACCCACTCATTCATCATGCTCCACCTCCAACTCAGCAAGTATGAATCACAGTTTCCAGTCTGGAGACCCCATTGAATTCAAACAGCCAACATACTGTAATTATGGGCCCTGTTATTACGTGTGTCCTAGAGGTATAATCCAAAGAGGTATTACCGGTACACTATCTGAGCTGTTCAAAATTGTGGCTCACTTTGCTTTTGATAACTGCATGCTTCAAGGGAGATATAAACAACTCATAACTGTAATGTTACATATCCTGTAGGTGTAAAGTACATACTGTATGTACATGTGCATATAATTTGCAAGTGACTTCATTATACTGTAATCATTACAATTACAATTATATTGAATTAAAAAGCTAACAATACAAGTACATATTATGTACCATAAATGAAAATTTTCATGTGTAGTTTAAAGTTCATCATGAAGTATAAGATTTGCAACAAAATGCTGTCCATGCATGCCTTTATGATAAATGCACATGATAAGCTTTTGAATGGGGCAATGCAAAGATATGAATTCATGTACCCATTATCCAGTTTTAACCATAATTGACAAAATCAATCAAATTTTATTATGTTTACTTTGTAAGCAATATGAGGTCAAAGGTCGCAGCTGAGATTACCCTCAGACAAATGACAAACTCTGGACTTTGGATGACACTCGCTAATCTCCTCGTAGTGTTTGTCTGCTGGTTGACACTTGATCCAATCCCTATTTGCACTGTCTTTGCGGTACTGTTTATGTAATAACTACTCCGGTATCTAAATGATTCCCTATCTGTAGAAATGACCCCCATCATGGTCAATCGTACTGTACTCTACCGAGGTGATGACCGATGTACTTATCAACAAATCATTGGTACTTTTCATCCGCTTTACAGCTTCTGTGCTGGTCGGGTGGTTTGAGGTGGACTATTTGGTTTCAAGTTTGATCATTATCTGCATGCTGTCTAATTATACTGCATTACCTGTGTAGTGTACAAACACAGCTACAGTTTGTTTCATAATGTATGTTCATTTCAGGATGTACATGTACGTGTATGTTCATTTCAGGATCTATTGAGGAGTATTGAGTCAATGCTTACTCTTGCTTATTTTTGCAGGATATGAACAATATCTACACTAAGCAAGGCATTTCTGATCCAAGGAATCTGGGCATATCTCCTTGATTGTATGAATCAGCACAACCACACACTGACTATTAAAATGTCTCTTGGACTGATATGAGCCATTATTCCAAGACACAGTTCTGTGGCATTGCAGGATTAGTATGTGTAAAGGAATTATGTTGACCATGAGCTACATAAAGCCACATGAAACAAACAGAAGCATAGAGAAAGGATGTCTACTCAAAGCTTTTGTGGTTTGGGAATTAGACATGCTATGTCTCTTCTCTCACTCTTTCTCTCTCTCTCTCTCTGTCCTTCTCTCCAACTCTCATTCTTTCTATGGTAATTACGAGATCCCACTAAATCAATAATAATAATAATAATGCCTTACCTTCCACTAAGTCTCCCCTTGCTGCTGCTTCCAGCAACTCTACGTTCTTGGCAAATGTGACATTCCTCCTATTCTGTATCTCCTTCATTTGGTTGGTGTTCTTGCGTTGCCTCTTGTTAAATTCCTTATCCGACTGGTGGTAGCGCTTGAGCTGCGCGGCACGGCGCTTTCGAGCGTGCTTCAGCCTCTCCTGGACACTCATCTTCTCCAGGGTGGGCATCTCCATGACCAATTCGTCATGCGAGGTCATGTTGGCAGAATTGTAAACCATCGACTGGGATGAACGACTACTTCGATTCAAGCCTCCTTGACGGAGAGCGCGCACGGGTCAGCGGGTGCCTGACCAAAAGTGACGGCGAGTTACCTGAAGACTGGTCTGCGGTTAGATAGAGTCTATATTAGACATGAAACTGGTGTGATGTTTGCGTATTAAGCCTTAATTTGCCACTCTGGGTCCTCTGTCTCTCTGGCCACGACTGTACAAGTACTTTGCGACGATCACAGCATTTAAGAACTGTGTGTGCAAGCTTCTCTACAGCCAGGATGTCGGTGTAATGTACACAAGCGGGAGTTGCCTAATCACTTGTGAACTCCGCAAAGTAAGGCTGTGCTACCTTCCCAGCGCTACTTTAAAAACTCTACCATGGAGTTTCCTCTCTCAATATCCTCAGGAAGTGCCACTCAGAGCATTGTCCTTTGACCTCAACATGGTAGAATCCACCAGCAGGGGTGCATATCCTATCTTATAAGATGGGTGAATCTCTATAACTTAAAAACCAACGACATGGACCTTATCAGAGGCACTTAGAAGCGCTGAAATGCTACTTTCACTCGCCCACATGTACCTTGGGATCGTACAGCTTCTCCTGCAACGGGGGTGCGGCAAATGTGAGCTACGATCGATTCCGTGAGATCACTGATGGGAGTCGCTGCTGAAAGGGCGTGCTCAATCAGCTACCACTCACGATGAAGTCACTCTAAAAAATAGGACCTGTGAGGGAAACAAAGTATTATAAACATGAATTGAGCAGGCTGAAAAAACTTCTACAAAAGACCTACATGCCTCGCTTCAGTTCCCGATTCATTCATTCACCTTGGACTTTGTTCCAAGAGACACACAAAAAGAGTGTCAACAATTTTAGACTGCATGGCTGATAATAATACCTATCAAGGGTAATGGTTCAGGTGGAATAATAAAATCTTCTTCCTTTTTTATGGGGGTGGCACTAACAAATATCTCAATAAACAGTTCCTCTTTGACATAAGATAGTGAATTATAAAATAATGAATTGCTCATTAATAGGATAATTTCATTAGGGGAAATATGAAAGACTTAATTCAAATTATAAGCATTATGTTTCAAATTATTATCCCAATTAAGTTCCAAACATGAACTGCAAAACACAGGTGTAATCAAATGAATTAACTTGTACATGTACATGTAAGTAATGCAATATTGTGATATCATTTTTTTGTGCATTTCAACAATTATCACTGTTAAACTAACTGGCTCACAATCATAAGAATATTCAAACATTTCATCCCTAACTTTTCAGCTATATTCTGAGAGTTTGTGTTTAGTTTCAACTCACAGACTCGACTCAAATTAATGAATGAGAGGAAGCCTGCTATACGGGCTCTAAATTTGGGTGAGCCACAAAATAATGGTCTCACAAATCATCAACAACAGCATGACAACATATAGGGGTGAGTCAGCACCCCCAATTTACATCGTCACCTAACAACCATACACGCCACTCTTTGCAAAAACAGGATGACCAGATTCAAAAGTACTAACTTGAGGAAATTCGTTTACATGCAGTGATAACATGAGGGCCAAGAGAGAGGAAGTTACACTGACTAACATTTAACCCGAGCTCAGAAACTCCTACTAGTTTGTTCATATAAGATTTTCTCCATTATCTCTTACATAGCTTTATATAGACGTTTGTTTCTTAAATTTGAGAATATGCAGGTGTGCTATTAAATAATCTTGTTTCCCTCTCAGGTTTACCTTTTAGACATTTTGGCACGAATTCACAAAGGAGGTTTAGATTTAGCCCATGGTTTACACCCTCATTTACATAACCCATGGTTTAAAATAAGCGCAAAATAAACATGACACAAGTCAGAGGTCCAATATTAGACGTGCGCAAGGCAAGCTACGCTTATTTTTAAACCATGGGTTATGTAAATGAGGGTTTAAACTTTAAACCATGGGTTAAATCTAAACCTCCTTTGTGAATTCGGGCCTATGAATTCAGTGTGAGGTAGAACAGGAAGGTAAGAAGAAAATGCAATTAGCAGACAATAAAGACACAAAGATTATTTCTGAGACTATACATTACATGTACAGCTTTACAAATACATATCTAAAATATGGTTGAAGTCTTGAAGTTCTAAATCCAACTGAATGTCTTTGGGCAAAAGTAAGTAAAAATGATTTGCAAGGTTTTTTTTTCACTAGAAACTCTCAAACAATATGTACAGTATGTGCAGTATTGCAAATTATGTTGTTTGTTTTTGTCTTCCTCAATAAGGAAATGCAGTGATCTTTATTATTTAATACACACTTGAATTCAACCGAGTGATACTGAATATTTTATTGCCCTTAATAATAAATTTTAAGCGTTGTTTATCAAATACACATAAGCATATCGCATCAGTGAAACATGAATTAGAATTAGTTTGTCAAATTACAACACTCTCTAACTTTTAAACTGATAACAACTGAAGTCAGACCAAATATGTAAATGAATTAATATGGTTCAACACCTGTCCTGTGTATTAAATTATCTTGATACATAGGGCAAATGGAGCAATTAGAACTCGTATTTCAATGAAAAGTATTGCCATAATTTGCAACAAATATAGATCATTTCAGGTGATTTAGAACAGGGCAGGATATTGCCAGTGGCACAGCTAAATCCCTCATAATATCGCTCTGGAAGTCGGGACCTAAATAGACCACCAGTAAACCGAGCGAATGACAGGATACTCATCCCCAAAGGACTTTTATCTCATGATGCCCACAATCATTACTACCCCAAATTATGCTATAAATGTACATGTACACATGCACTAGCCATATTGTATGACAGACGATTTAATGAAATGGGAAAATTCATAGTGCTGATCAGCTGAAAACATTATTATACAAATTAAATCGGCGGGTGTACACATTGCCTATCGATGCACATTTAGACAGGTGGGATAGTGTGTGATAAATTAAGGGGGTTGATTATGATATGGGAATTATTACACTTCTACATCATGCAATCTGTAGATGTTCTTACATTGTCTTTGACCACTTGTGTTTTTAATCAATTTAATCATGAGTTTCCTTCTTTTTCAAATAAGGAAATAAAATGGCTTGCATTTTACTTAAACAATCTCAATTTACCAAGTAATACATGTAAAGAAACTAGCATATTATGAACTGTCAATTAGTAAAAAAAGATATCTTTCACAGATTCCACATCCTTTGAGGTTTGTTGCAAATATGAAAATCAGTTATTAAATACAGTACTCAACCAAGGGAGCTCTTTTAATTTTGCAAGTTAGAAAATGCCTCAAAATAATTGAATCACATAGAATTTTTGCCATTCAAAAAGTTGTTGGTTTTACTATACAGTGTACATACAATTGTCATATCAGGCAATATTTCAGTATTTAACTTTTCAGCATATGGTAAAAGGCAGGTACATCGATAAACATCTGTAAAACATGTGTCAAGGTATATAATTGCAATGTACATGTACATGTACTAGATAACATTAGCATCATTAACATCATGCTTAAAATTTAACTGTGTCCATCTGCACAGGATCCCCAGGTCCATTTACACTGTACATGCACCGAATGTACACTGTCAGCATTTTCAAAAAAGATCCCTTTGACCGAGTGCTATTGAAATGCTAGTCTGTTGTATCCTCTTATTCAACAGTCAATCCAGTTGACAACTGATCAAGACTGTCTAGATCCTGTTCATTCATGCAGAACAAAAGGGTCTTTACCTAGAAAGCAGGACTAAAATCTAACTGTACTGTTTCTATAGGCAGAAGGCCAACGTGTGAATCTGCCATAATCCTTATCATGTACACTTTGTACTCAGTCAAACCTACTTGAGCGACCATGTGCAGAAAAACTACAGACGAGTTGATGAAGAGTTGAAGACCTCATCCTTTATATTATGTGAACCGTTTTTTACCTCTAACCTTAAATGTACATTAAAAATCTAAGTAGACAGCTATTTTGTGTTTCTTACAGGTTTGACTATAGGATTGTGAACACCTATTATGATCTATTTTGTTAAGAGAATTGAGCAGTATTGGGTAATGGGTATCATAATGAATTGTAAAGTCCATGTAACTGTCATTAATTAGTAGTAGTTTGTTGACACAAAAACAAAACTGGTTGGTCCCTGGGAAATTAATTTTATGCAGTAATCAAATGAGGAAGTGAGCTGCAACAGGCACAACGGTTTATGAACTTACAGTACATTATGTACTAGTATACGACCTGAAATAATCAGTACTGTGAACAGATGCCTTGATAGGGAAAATTCTAGCAGCACCTTTGTTCTATTGTCCATATCTGCCCATGCAATACATCCAGGAACATACAGATATAAATAATGATAAGAAGTAAAACTTTAACTACATGTACAGTATAGTTCTTGGTTGAAGCAAAAATTGAATCTTTTGTCTGATAAACAAATATTAAACATACTTTCAAAACCATTCAAGATATATACTGTATGTAACAAGGAAAACAAGATTCCAAAACTCATGTTATTGTTGTTTCCTAGAATACAAGAGGTATCCTTAATCAAACACGTCAGATGCCTTTTCAGTTTTCTAATCTAATTCCATATTACAACTACATGTACACATTTGCCAATTAAATTCAGATTCAAGTCAGAAGAATAACATGCCTGATATGAACATGACAACATTCTAATATTCAATAAGATTCAATGCACTTTTCCAATATATGTACAGTACGTACATGTACATGTACATTGTACAGGCCTGTAAACAAATTATTTAAGGGCACAAAATCTCTTATTTCTAATTTTTTTTACCGCATTGCATAATAGTTAATTACATGTATTTAACTGCATGCGATCAAAGGCTTGCAATTTACCAAAAAGTCCTAAATACATGTTACTGTTACTGTACACTGTAGGTAGACTTTGACGTTGTTAAAGTTAAAGACACTTCCTACTCGTGGTAATCAGGACAAGCTTTGTGTGAAAAAGTTTCTCTTCTTTTGTTTTTTTTAACTTTTTTCTTTTCTTTCTTTTTTGTTAATTCTCAAAAGGAAAGCTGAGTCTGTACATGTAATTAAGGTCCTGCTTAAAGTGAAACTTCCTTTTAAGCAAATGGAGTTAACATTGGACTCTAAACGTACTCCAACAAACCCTGCACTCAAGGAAGGATACAAAAAAAACATATTTTTCAGCTGTCCCTACAGTATCTTGTACATGTACATGTGCTCTGCCCTTTTTTTGCTCCGTTTCATTTTTGTTCCCATCATTTTTTATTTTGTTTGGTATCTTACTACAATATCATACACATAGTCATAGACTTGAGAAGAGTTTTCACAAAACTGTTCACTGACAACCCATTGAATTGTTAACATGTGTTTCAATAGGTTGTCAGTGAAATTGTACTTACTGTAAAACAGTTTTGTGAAACGATGCCCTAACCAACAGACTGGTTCTAGGAATACAAACATACTGAAAACCACTTCCACAGACAGCAAATATTTCAGACAAATGAAAAATACTATTGAGCCACCCACCACAACAGTCTGCTTAGCCATGGTTTTGATCGCAATGACATCATGCCTTGTTCAGCGATGCATGCATGCAAGCTGTGCGATCATACTTTAGCAGCCAACGAATATTCGCTATCGGTACGATATTGTTACGTTCCATTATCATGTTCTCTCTGCCCTATTCACTGAAAGCCTGTCCCACTATGCAGTTCGAAACTGACATCGCTTTATTTACCTAATTCCCAAAACGTTGTTACCAAGATCGTTTGAGCATCCTTTTTAAAAGCCTATCATTTTTCCAAACAATTATTACCTTTTAATTCAAGTTTTAGCAGCCATTGCATATAAAAGATGTATTCTTAACAATAAATTTGACTGATTTTGTATGATTTATGAAATAGATTCTTGACATGTTTATCTATCGCCTTTAAGTATCTTTTGAAGTTAGCTTGTGTGTGTAAGGTATAGTGCGACTATGCGAGAAGAGATTTATGCATATTTGCAATAAGCTTTTTTGCTTAGCCCTCACTTAGCTGCCTCACGAATGATGCATATTGACTTTGAGCATGCGGTGTAGCTGCTAAGGGCATCAATGTGGAACTGTCACTCAAGTTCAGGTGACCAGGCAGGCAGGCCAGGGGACAGGGCATGGGAAGCAAACCGCTGTGGGCTCACCAACTCGATTCCTCACCATGTTCGCTCTGAGTCTAAATCAGAAACATCTCAATTGATCATGTATAACATTGCTTACAATCGCACATGCAACAGCGACTAGGGGTCTATACTAGACTGACCGTGCCTGGAAGCCAGCCGGGCGGCAGGGCATCAGGCTCGGGGGCCGGGGCCGCCAGCGATGGCTTTCTACCACTGTACCTCACTCCGTCTTTGAACTCAAAAACTTCCTTTTATTGCTTAAAACCATGATAATCATGGGTACCAAAGCACTTTATTCATTAATAATTGTTATTTCATTATAAATATTATGTGATAAAGTCATAAATAAGGGTACAAGTAACATTATTTACCTGAAAATGACAGCTGATCAAGCGGGAGTCGCATCTGATCGATAGACTCTGTGCGTGTGAGCTTGCTTTGTACAAACGCACCGTACGTACGGGCAAATATGAGTGTCCGCAATTATCATACGTATACGTAGAAGGTTGTATCTTCTTCTTCTTCGTCATCTACTTCTTCCTCTCCTACTTCTTCTTTTTTCCTTTTCTTCACTATATTGGTTCTGTTTTATTTGCTTGTTTTTATTAATAATTCCGCTTTTCTTTTCTTAAGTTTATCCTTCTGGGTGGTGGAAAGCAATAGAATGTCAGGTACGACTGACTTGTTTAATCCGCCGCCCCCCCCCCCCCCCAAAAAAAAAACGAATGGCGCATAATATAGGCCCTAAGGATAGAATAATATCGTCGTTAAAATCGACGGTTAGGTTAAAAAGAAAAGTGTAGTTTAGAGTTTAGTGTCTACCTTGGCTGATCAAATTGAGAGGAAAAGTTATGAAATATGGTCTTTTCAATGAATGATGTATCTAAGGATTTGCTTACCCAAGGGTTCATTGTATCCGAAAATGAAACTGGGATTCATTACCTTTTCAGAATTATTAACCTTCGGAAAAAGTCATTTACCCGGTCTCACTCTACCCCTTCCTTCCCCATTAATATCGTCAAACAGGTTGAATGTAATTATAATACGGTACTGTGTACTTTTGTAATAAGCACCCCACCCCAGCCCCACCCCCCCCCCCCACACACACACACACACACACACACGCATCCAGTGAGAAAGGTTTCAATGGTTTAATTACAGACATTCTTTAAGGTAATTCTCAGGCGTCCGCTGGTGGAATTTTCACTGTCTTGTTTTCACTCTTCATTTTCTTGCTCTGTGCAGGAGCGTCGCCAAAGGGGGGGGGTGTGGGGGGTGCGACACCCCCCCCCCCCCACCTGTCAGGATTTTGTCGGTAAAATTGCGCTGCCGTCGGGAAAAAATAGAAAAGGGGGAGGGAAAAAAGAGAGGGAAAGGAAAAGAAAGGAAAAAAGAAAAGGAAAAGAAAAGAAAGAAAGGAAAAGAAAGGAAAGAAGGAAAAGAAAGAAAAGAAAAGAGAAGAAAGAGAGAGAGAAGAGGAAAAAAAGAAAAGGGAAAAAAAAGAAGAAAAAAAAGAATAAGGGAAACAAAAGAAACGGATGAAAGAGAGGAGAGAGAGGGGAGGTAAGAGCCTGAGAGAAGAGGAGTGGGAGTAAAAGAGAGAAGGGGGTTGTTGGGTGGAGTCGTCTCGTCGAGGGAGCAAGAAAGACACGGTCAAATATGTTGCTGTGTCGGGTCAGCTGTGTCGGTGTTCTTGCTCGATCCTCGTGTACTAATATCAATGCAGAAGTTTGAAGTCGGTGAGATGTATATTGTCGGTCGGTCGGCTGACAAGTTTTTTTCCCTACGAACTGTGACTTTTTATCCGCTGTGACGACTTCGAGAGTGACTACAACTACAATACTTGTATTTTTTCTCAAAGTTTCACTTTCCTATAATATCAGCTAAAGAAATCAGAAGTTTAACATTTTCGGGGAAACTAAATTCAAACAAAGTTTAAAAGTCAACAACGGTACGACGAATCGTTTTCCTTTCTCTATATTGTGATGAAACGCCAAAGATTCCGCGCTTCGCGAGAACGGTACAACGAATCGTCTTCTTTCTCTAATAATTTAAGGAAACGTCAAAGCTTCCGCGCTTCGCGCGAGAGGGGGAAACTGAATTCAGAAAACGGTACGACAAATCGTCTTCCTTTCTCTACATTGTGTTGAAACGCCAAAATTTGCGCGCTTCGCGCGGGAGGGGAAAACTTCATGTAGACGAGTGGAGACAGTACTATCGTCTTATTTCTCTAATAATTAAAGGAAACGTCAAAAATTCCGCGCTTCGCGCGGGTGGAGGAAACTGCATTCAGAGAAGGATAAAGAGTCGAGCCCGGTTCAACGAATCGTCTACTTTCTCTTATAATTTAATGAAACGCCAAAACTTCCGCGCTTCGCGCGGGAGGGGGAGAACTGAATTCGGATAAGGATTAAGAGTCGAAAAATGTACACCGAATCGTCTGCTTTTTTCTCAAAATTTAATGAAACGTCAAAGTATTAAGAGTCGAGCACGGTTCAACGAATTGTCTACTTTCTCTAATAATTTAATGAAACGCCAAAACTTCCGCACTTCGCGCGGGAGGGGGAGAACTGAATTCAGATAAGGATTAAGAGTCGAAAACAGTACACCGAATCGTCTGCTTTTTTCTCATTATGAAATGAAACGTCAAAGGATTAAGAGTCGAGCACGGTTCAACGAATCGTCTACTTTCTCTAATAATTTAATGAAACGCCAAAACTTCCGCACTTCGCGCGGGAGGGGGAGAACTGAATTCAGATAAGGATTAAGAGTCGAAAACAGTACACCGAATCGTCTGCTTTTTTCTCATTATGAAATGAAACGTCAAAGGATTAAGAGTCGAGCACGGTTCAACGAATCGTCTACTTTCTCTAATAATTTAATGAAACGCCAAAACTTCCGCACTTCGCGCGGGAGGGGGAGAACTGAATTCAGATAAGGATTAACCCTAATAAGGCGGGGGGGCCATTATGGCCCCCCCCCCCTCCACAATTTTTTCGATTGCTCGGGAACGCATATGGATGGCGCCCCGCCGCTCGCTGACTTTTTTCTTTCGAGTCTTGCGCAACTTTTAAAATAATTTTTTTGAAAATCGGACCTACGGTTACAAGGTCACGTGACCTTTTGTCTTCGCATGTCAGCCTGAAAATCGCTCATTTTCGTGATTTGTGTACAAACCGTATGGCAAAGTCATTTTTCCTAAAAACAGATCAAACATGGGTTATTGGGTCTTGTTTAAAGTTTAGGTGGTTGTTTTGGGAGTCAAAATAGTTGAATTGTAGTAAAAGATAAAATAAAACAACAAAAACAATGAAATACATAAGTTAAAAAAACAATGAAATACATAAGAAATTATCAAAACAAGGGATAACATAAGAAATAAGCTGGCTCTTCCAAAATTTTTGTCGTATTATTATTCAGTATGGTCTAATGAATATATCTAGTGAAAAAGAATGCTTAAATATGAATAATATATGATTTATTGGTAAAAATGTTTTTTTTATGACTTTATTTGCATAAATTACCATAAATATGCAAATGAGTGAATTTTTCAAAAAATTGAAATTACCATATTATTCTTTACACTTCACTTGACATGCGTGCAAATTTTCGCGGCGATCGGCCGCTTCGCGGCCGAGATCTTGAGGGGGGGCCATAATGGCCCCCCCCCCGGCCCTACTAAGACTTCAAATAGCCCGGCCTTATTAGGGTTAAGAGTCGAGAACAGTACACCGAATCGTCTGCTTTTCTCATAATTTAATGAAACGTCAAAGCTTTCGAGCTTCGCGCGGGAGGGGGGGGGACTTAATTAAGACAAGGATTAACAGTCGAGAACTGTACAATAAATCGTCTTCCTTTCTCTATATTGTGTTGAAATGCCAAAACTTCCGCGCTTCGCGCGGGAGGCCTATCACCCACCCCCCCTAATGAGCGCGTTTCAGTGATTCGCTTGCTCTCTTCCGCCCCTCCCTAAAATAAGATCCTAGCTCCGCGCCTGCATTAAAATATAGCTATGCTGACTAAGTTGACGAAATAATTCATGTATTTATGTCGTCGAGGAAAATAACCATTAATTTTGCGCATACGCAAGTATTATATAGATAGTCCATAGGAAAAATAATTTAATTTTGTCGGTAATTGGTGGCTAGTTTTGTCGGTAATCGTTGGCCTCTACATCCCCCCCCCCCCCCCCACTGAAAAAGGTCTAGCGACGCCCCTGGCTCTGTGTTGTCATTTCTATTTTGTTTAAACATGTACCTACCTCTGGATATTAAATTTATTTTTAAAAAAAATAATAATAACACCATCATATAGTTTTATGTGTCTTCAAGGGCTTTAGAGCACAATATCCTTTGATTCGGTTTAGTCTCTTGCCTGGCCCTCATATCAATTAGGCTAAACATTATACAATCATGCATCTCTTCTCCCAGTTTCTTCAGGGAAGAGAGCGAGAAAATATAGTGACACTTTATGGTTTTAGTCATTTGTGGTGAATGATCTCTACCGCTTTCTTTTAAATGATATTTCGCCAATGAAGTATTCCTGAAGTATTGTGAACAGCAGCTGAACCACCAGGTCCAGGTATATCTCGGATGACTGATTGAAGGAATACTGAATGAGGTGATGGTTGCTCTATTATGCATTGGTCGGGGTATTGGTACTTTGACAAAAAAAATCTGTTCATCTTTCGCATTCCACCGTCTGCATTTTCTTCAGAATTTGTTCTGTTTTCTTTTACAATGCCTACTGACTTCTTCATTTATTCTCTATTGAAATAACACAAATATCACACGATAGCCTGCACTTTATAGAAAGAAAAATGATTCTGACAGATAACACGCTCAAGGTTCAACCAAGTGGCTTCTTTTTTAAAGATATTGATATAAAGCACATGACTTGTTTAATATTAAAATAGCTATAGTTTAACAAACAAGGTTGTTACTCTAGACGTTTAAAAGGAGCCACCAGGGAGACATGCTTGTGAATTTTATAATCGCTCTGGATTAACCATCTCTCTCCCCCTCTCTCTCTCTCTCACTCTCTTTCTCTCTCTTTCTCTCTCTTTCTCTCTCTCCCTTTCTCTTTCTCTTTCTTCTCTCTCTCTCTCTCTCTCTCTCTCTCTCTCTCTCTCTCTCTCTCTCTCTCTCTCTCTCTCTCACACACACACTCTTTCTTTCTCTCTCTCTCTCTATCTCTCTTGTACCTTAACTAATTAAGATTAATGTATTTTCCATGACCCGTGACATTTTAAAAATTGAGAATCTCTGCAGGCCCAGTCGCGGGTTAATGACTGCCATGTTCCAAGATTGCCATGGTTACCGATGATTATGTGTACGTTTTATGTGTTGGTATGGTAATAACGGAAGCCATATAATGGAAAGTTTGCTTCTTCTTCCTCCGTGCTTGCCCTCTTTTCCTCACCTTTGAAGATGGATTCAAAGCAGCTGCTGTTGTAAAAGTTACTGTGTAATTTCTCGTCCACGCAAATTTTAAAATTGAGTACACCCATCAATAATTTGTTTTTAATGAAACATTATTTAATAGCAATTATTATATTAGATATCATGAAAGAAGAATGGTTTATGATTAACTATTTCTACCAAGTGTTATAACATGGAGTAGGATTATGAATTCAAAAGTATATTGGTAGTAAAACGCATTTCTCTCCTTCATGAAATGACTAAGTACTCTCTCTCTCGTGTGGTAAATGGGGGCGCTATAGTCATGATAGTGAAAATATTCCTGTACTCCCATGCTGTATAACCAAATTTTATTGATTTATTTACAATGTCTTTTTCTACATAGCCGGAGAGCAGCATATGGGAACATGTCGGGGGGGGGGGCGGATTATCAATGACAGCTCACATTTTCCGACAAAGTGTATGTATATACCGACACACAAAACATTATGTAAATCTATATTCCCCTATGACGTCACCATGGGTAATCAAATACTGACAACGCATAATGGAAGCAGAAAATTAGATAAGCAGACTCGTAAACCCTTGACAAGGAAAACAATAAAGAATACTAAATGTTAACAGCTGTGATAGTTTAGGGCTACATGTCGCTTTTCCGAAAGTTCATTATTCCGAAAGGTTAAAATATGAATGCAGTTAAATTTATAATTCAATTTTTGTCTTCCTCAGATGTATAACTTACTGTTAACATTTGTTTTTGAAAATGTAACTATTTTTTGTATACATTTTACATTGTATTCGTTATTATGTATTGTATTTGTTGGAAATGAAAATGATATGAAATTATATCCGAAATTGAAATAAGGTTCCAAATTCGATTAATGTAATAGGGTTCGTAATTCCGAAAATGAAATAGACCCCTGTATACGTTTTTAACGTAACGATCTTTTGGATTAATCAACCCTATTTCACTTTCAGAATCATGAACCTTCGGATAAACGAGCATACGGAATAGTTCAATAAAATAATGTTATAAACTCCATTTCATTTTTTCGGAATCATGAACCCCTGTATGCGAAAGTTGTGTTTCGGAATGAAGAACATACGAAACTATTTTTTTTCGAGAAGGTTTCATAATCATATGATTATGAAACCTTCTCGAAAAAAAAAGGCTAAGAAAAAACGAGTGCCTCCAGTACATGGGAATCTAAAATTAGCGATTTGTATATAGTTACAGCTAGAATATCATATTATTCGGTTTTATAATTCCTCCGCAACAAATGCGTATTCGTATTGAGACTATATCACCGGAAATCTTTAGAATCTGTTATGAAAGTAATGCAATTATATTGCACTTTAGAATCATGTCATTGACTTCTATTTTTACATTATAGGATAATATAAGTGGCTGTATATATATAGTGAGCGTGGGAATAAATCACAACTAATCCAAAATAACAAGGACAAATATGAGGATATCTTTAAATACGCTTGTTTTCTTTACAGGCCTACGAATTGTGACTTTGCACATCCAATTTTATGATTGACAGAATGATGTAACAGAATTGTTTTGACCAGATCATGAATATTCTAACAACGTCTATCGTTCCTTTTGGTCAGGGTGCACTAATACGGGGGGGGGGCACAATCTTAGGTGGACAAAGTGAGAGATATCAAGTCAATTAAGTGAAGGGAGGGTGCTGGTGGGGGTCGCATCATTTTCTTTTTACGCCTCCTTCACCTACCCTATTTTCTTATCGCGCCATTTGATGCGTATCTATCTACTATCTTTCTATCTACCATTCTATCAACAGATTATTAAAAAACAATATTTTAAAAGAGGAACTCATGGTAGCCATATCTGGCTTTTTTTTAAATTTTTTTACCATTGCTCAATATCCTACTAGTGTTTTTCTCGCTCCAACTGCCCCCTTTATATGCCCTCCTCCCTGCACTCCCTTTTTTTCCTTCTTTCCCTATTCCTGAATCAAGACTCTCTCTCTCTCTCTCTCTCTCTCTCTCTCTCTCTCTCTCTCTCTCTCTCTCTCTCTCTCTCTCTCTCTTTCTCTCCATATTTATAAATCCCTCTATTCTTCTTCTCGCTCTCTTTTTTTTAGTCTCTGAATTTTTTCCGAGGGGGGGGGGGGATATCTTTCTATCTTTTGCACATTTGAATACTCATTTAGGCAGTCTACCTAAACACTATGGGCAGATATGATTAAAAGTGTATTTTCTTTTCGATTACTGTGTCCAGTTTATAGTGTGATTATTATTATTTTGTATATACTGTCGTGAAACGGATGTCCAAACAAAATGACCACCACAATCACGTATTTTCCTCTTTCCACTTCACTTCGGGTTTTTTTTTATTTGTTGTTGTTTAAATAAACATTTTTATGGAAGAAAAACATTTCCACATCAATATACTCGAAATGTGATAATTATGTTGTTGTGTAAACTCATTTATGTTTGTCTGAAGAAGTGTCTGAAATTTTTTTTTTTTTTCTCAATTGTCTTCATATTGCTCGGTGCTATTAATGTGATTTTATTTGAATGGTACTGTTTCTTTGTTTATTTTTAAATATTTTTATATATTTGCTTTGTAACTCAGGAAAGATGTTTTGTAAATGAAAGATATCATTTATTATTATCGTCATTATCATTAGTAGAAGTAGTAGAAGTAGTAATAGTAGTAGTAGTAGTAGTAGTAGTAGTAGTAGTAGTAGTAGTAGTAGTAGGCTAGTAGTAGTAGTAGTAGTAGTTGTGGGCTAGTAGTAGTTAGTAGCCAAAGGGGGGTGTGGGGGTGCGACTTTTTTTTTGGGGGGGGGCATATGGAAACGTTTGCTTGTATTTGTCTCATAAAAGAAGTTGATCACAAACTGACTCCCACACGGTGTTGAGTGCTCAGGGGTCACAGGCCACTGGCTTCATTGGGCAGGTAGTTCCATTATGTGAATGGGTAAATTAACTATTACAAAATGAGGCCGGGGACATATTACATTGTACAATAGGGACACACATTGTTTTTATTGTGCAGAACATACTCTTTTATTGACTTACTTATTGTATGAAACTATAAAACCAAAATGCATTTTGTATTCTAACAATTGGAGTACAAAGAATTTTAACAGGTGAATGAAATGCATAAACACCACAAAATGTGGGGAGGAAGCATTCATAAGTTTGAATACATATAGTTGATAAACGACTCCGCTATTTGCTCTTCTCCAACGCAAAAAGAGACGACATTGTGCTGGATAAATGTATTTTTTCCGACGAAAGTACAGAAAATTTGCATATGGTCTTTCGATATTATACTTTATGAAATGTTACCCGAGTGACTTCCGGGCGCCCCAATGCTGGAAAGAAACGCACATTTTAGAAAACTTCACTTTTTCATGGAAAATGCTTATTTGTTCTATGCACGCAAGTCAGATTGAGCGGATGATACAACGTTTCCATGTATGGGCTCCTAAAAATGTGAAAAATCGCACCCCTACCTCCCCTTGAGCGCCAGGGGGGGGGGGGGCATCTCCCAAAAAATGTAAAATTAACCAAAATTATACAACAAAATATTCTAAATTCGATCAAAATATTCTATTATTTTGGTTAAGACATTAAAATTAGATAAAATATCAAAATATGGCACATTTCGAATTTGTTTCATTTGTTCAAATTAGTGTCTTATAAAAGTAGAGAAATGGGGTCTTTGCCAGTATGGGTTTATCAATGGCATCAATTTTTGGTACATGGTATTTCCTGTAAAGTGGGGGTGGTATGTGCACAGTGTGAAATCTTATTGCCTTTTTTCTTTGAAAATAAAAGCTACCGTAGCCGTGGTACGAAATTACTGAAAAGTACCTTCGCCCGCGAAATTCGTAAAAATATGTCTTCAAAGTCACGATATCATGGAGTGTATTTTAAATCAAAGTCATCCAAGACCCTTCATCAGATTTTAAGTATGACTTATGTTTAAAATTTTTTTAAATACGTATTGGCGATGTGTTTGCAATGTAGATCTAGACTAGAGTCTATATCTGTAAGGAGGAGCACCGAGCTCCGTGCCGTGTAAGCAACTCCAGAGTCCATGGTGCTCCGCCCCCGACGCCTTCGGCAGCGGAGCTCCCTGGAGTTACGTGTAGGCAAAGGAGAGACACCACCTTTGCGTTAAGAATCCACTGCATATTAGAGTCTAGAGTAGACAGATAATTTCTGTCTCTTTCATTCGTTAGCCTTTTATTTGTGGTAGGGTGGGCTCTTCTCTATAGAGACAGAAGCCAACCATCATTGACCATAGGGTCTGCTTTCAGAAGTTTGTGCCACCAAAACTGCCACCAAACTTAGTCAAAGTAACTTGGACCTAGTCAAGTTGGACGAATGGTTTATAGTATCGCGCATAGTTCTACAGGAAGTCTGCATAATTTTGGACTAATAGCTTCAGTTTGAGGTGCAGGACTACAGGCAGCGTAGAGACGGTACTGAGCAACAACGTCGACATCGAAGCCCTAAACGGAGGTTTCCCGATGTCGGATGTGATCCAAATTCAGGTGGAAAATGCAATAGATCTAGAGTAAAGTACCCGGTTTTCGGCCACTTAAGACAAAATCCTATTTATTGGACTCTTTACTTCCTATTTATTATCATTTCTTGTTCAAATCATGAAGCAAATATTATTATTGTTTAAACAAAAAAAGAATCCCAAAAAAAAATCCCGAATTGCCATGACAATATTCATTTCAATTTTCACTGTTTTGGAGCCGGTTATCGGCCGAGCGTTTCAGTTTACGGCCGCATGTACAAAGTCAATAGGAAGCGCTCGCGCGCGCCGTGCGTTTCCGCGCTGATGTATAGCACAAGCGGGCGGAGCAGGTATCCCACGCCGGAGCTCCCGGGTGCTCGCCTGACCGAATACAGGCACAGCGGTGATCGGAAGTTGGAATCTGAATTAGACGGACATATCGTGTGTGCGTCGTGGTGTGCGGCTGCATTGATTTAATACATGCGATGAGATACTTTTGAGCTTGCGACCAGCACAAAATCGGGCTCTATATCTGAAAAATACTTGAAATAAAGCTCATTTTATGGTACCCATATTTCTTACATACACGCGTAAGAAACTCGATTTTTCAGATTTGGGTAGCGGGACCGCCGATTACATCGCTAAAATGTGATATTTTAGGATATATTTTTCATTGCAAATGTGGTTCTTCAGTGACACTGGCATGGTATGGTATGTGTGGGATATGTGTTATGCTATTATGCGATGTATTTTAAAGTGATTTTACCATGTATCAAACCAATTGGCCGAAAACCGGAGCTGACCGATTACCGGGTACTTTACTCTAGACCCTATATGATTATGATTAGAATTAGTGAAAAATTGGGCTAAAATTTATTTGCTAAGAATGGATATTAAACTGCTAAAAAAAATGGATATGGAACTACACTAGCGCCGGTCTTTTTTCCAGATTTTCTTTGTCGAAATTGAACTGTGTTGAAATTTTTCCAGCAGTACTTTAAAATCTTACTGTCAATGGCTGACATGTTCTTTCTTCATATGCAGTAACAGGCTTAGTCCTAATTTTTGAGAATAAATGCATCGGATATGAATCAGCTTAAATGACATTATACATTTTAGTCAAAACGTGCCACCAAACTTCTGACAGCAGACCTAATGAGCCACTACTAGCACTGAAAGCTGCCATGTTTGTCACTTTGTGTACATCCAGGGTGGTCAGGGATATTAATTATAAACAAATTTGTTTTCACTGGCTGCCTGCCGTAGCAACAAACAGAGTTGACAAAAGACTTAGATCTAACTCTGTTTCATTGACGATCAGCCATGCACAAAGAAAACGAAAGACTACAAAGACTTTTCAGACTTGACATTTACTATTAAAAAAAGAAAGGAATAAAATGCAGATCTGTTTCATAGCCAGTTAGCCATATTATGCACTTCAGTATGACTTAAAGAATTGTTTTTATTTTTGTTTATTCCAGAGGAAAGGCAGGAGAAACACAAAGAAACCCAAAGGTTGAGAGGGAAAGATTTGCAACAATTGATCCTGAATCTTCTAGATAACCATCAGGATTTTGATCAACTTCTTCAAGAGATTCAGGCGCAGGTATTCAGTAACAGTTTTCATCAATCAAATAACGTATGTTGAACTTGAACTAGAGACAAGTGAAAGCAATAGAAATTAAAATGATGAAAGGGATATTATGAGAAGAAATTCATTAATGCATCAGTAAGAAATGGACTCCTGACATAAGTCAAATGCAGGAAAAGAAGAAGGATTAAAAAAAGTTTTAAACAGGAATGACAAGAATAAAAGAGCTATAGGGATAAGAATTTGAAGGTATCTGGTATTACTTCATGATATTTATTTTTGCTGACAAACTCCATCATATTTTTGTTTAACTAGTGATGATACAATTTTCTTCTGTAAAGGATTTATACAAAAAGCACCCAGCAATACATTGATGAGATTTCTGTATGTTTTGATATTATTTTCTCTATAGAGTTCAGATGGGAGTTCCAATAGCAGCAACAACAGATGTAGTAGCAGTAGCAACAATGACAACATCAGTTCTGAAAACCCACCCAGTGATGTTGAATGTAGAGACACTAAGAAGTTCTGTTTAGATGGTAATGAATCCATCTTGTTCCCTAGAATGTATTATCATATTTCTTGTATAAAATGAAGCTTAGAACGAGACCCAATTTCCTGCAATAACTGAACCTGAACTTGTTGACTCCTGAATTTTCTTATTACCGGTAAGCATGGACTTGAATACAGGAATCAGTCAGCTCCATAGGAAATGGGCTAATATTACCATTTTTTTGTTTTTATTTAGTAGTGTGTAATGTCTGATTTTATCTGCCACTCGATATCTTATTGTCTCTCACTCAATAATATTCTCTCACTATTTCACCCATCTTGTAACGCAGTTGAATCGATTACATCATGTCTGCAGCACCAAGCTACCTCGACTGGTGTTCCCATCTCTCAGCTTGCTTCCAAGAAATGTGCCACTCTACTTTATGAGGGCTCTATCATCAACCAGACACAAGCACATGATCATGAGCTATTCTTGGGGTGCCTCAACCAAGATCACAGGGTTAGTTGAGAGTCAGAGCAAAGTCTTTGAAGATTCTAGTAAAAGTTCATTGAGATCAATAGCATTTTTTTTAAAACCTTCTAAACCAGGACTTTTTTTAGTAGTGTCCAGCTTTTCTGCAATTAATAGTTCATTACTTTTACTTCATTCGACATATCCTTATGACCGTTAGAATTTTTGTGTGAATGGCATCCCATGTTTCAGACCCTTTACATGTAGCTGTCATAGAAATCACATCTGAACTGTAAAGGAGAAAGTTTGAAAAAACCCTTTTCTAAACCATTGTTTGGTGGTGCAGAGTATGCATTAATTGTTTTTAAATTGTGGACAAGCAAAATGTGCCATTTATGTATATAAAACAACAGCTCAAAATATTTCACTTGATGGTTTGTTATCATGTTTCCCTATCACTTTGGATAGATTATTTAACAAAATCTGAAATGTAGACATGTTGAGGAGCAACTTAAAAATAATATAACGGGTCTTCACCAATATCGATTTGGCAAATTGTTTTATGATGACATTAAATTTCCTTGTTTAAATTTTGTTTTAGTTTTTGTTTTAGAATTGTTACATTGTTTGAATGCATTCGATTTCATGCAACTCCTTGCTAATTTATTACAGAGAAAGGTTGAGCTTGTAGTAAACCTGATCAAAAGTTTGGATGCTGGGCATAACTTTCACAGAGGCCAGTTTGTTGAAGCATTCAATTCACAGGTAAGGCATATTGACTGATTTAGGTTTGTGTTTGTATGGTGGTCAGTTATGTGGAGGATTGAAACTTGACAAGAAATACATGAATGTTATTCATTAGATATTAACAAGAACGAATGAAAGAAAAACCAAAAAGATAAAAACTTAAAAAACTTATATTTATTTTGCTGCTGTAAAAGGGTTGTATATCATGTAAATAGATATCTAATTATTTTGTTTTATTCAAGTTGCAGTATTATATGATGAAGTACCTTAGTTGAGTAATATGGAATGAACGAATATCTGACCAACATTTTTTCATCTATTGGCTTATGTATATTCCCATAATCTTGATACCTTTATATTTCCAACAACAATATCTTTATAACATTCAACAAACTTCAGCTATATTTGATTTGAGTTGATTAATCCTGGTAACTTAACAAAGTATTTTGTATATTGAATTTTCAGATTCACAGCGATTATGCCAGGTTTCCACCATGGCTGCTATGGCATCTCCACAGGGAATCTATCATGCCCTTTGACCTCTTTGTGACCTCTCACCTTGGCCATCCAAAAGTCCTGAGTCACGTGGCAGTAGACCTTGCCAATTTGACGATCAAAAATCAGCAAACAGAAGAGGGCATCTGTGAGTTGTCACAGCAAGTCTTTATTGGTATGGATACGAATTGTGATTACCTTCTACTATATGTAGAATAGGTTGTTTCCACTTACAAAATTGCTTTGTCCTAGTAAAATGTTTATGACTGAAGCGGAAAGGACCAATAATGGTGATACTTTAGGAACAAGAACGTTTCCAGTGTTTGTGTAGCAAATCATCTGCAAGCCTTTTAAAGGGATCGTTTAACAATGTTAAATCTGAGATGCATGGCCCTACGTGTTATCAGTGTCTGTTCAAGCATCAAGAGTAAAAATATATCTTTGGTATATAAATTTTTTGGTAAATTTATTTCTGTCCCGTGACATTGCTAAATACAGTATACCTCCTGTGGGTAACGTTTTTCTGCATCTGGAAGTAAAATATTCCTAACTGTATACTAGGCCAATCATGCACAAGCTGAAGGCCTGTGCAGATTTTTTGCCCTTTGCATTGGTAGGGTTTAAGTACTGTATAAACCATACCGTTTTCTTGAATCTCTTTCCAGACACCCTGACTTACTTCATCCAAGTTGCCCACCCAAGCAAAGATGCTCCATCTTCTGGAAGTACTAAAACAATTACCAAGGTAATACAAACTAGATTAGATTGAATGTTAGTTACCACTAGTCCACTCATCATTGGTCATTTCAAAGGAAACTTATGGAAGGTAAGAAGGTCACACTTAATTTGTACAATGACTTCAGTTCAATTCATTGGTCAATTATAATTGAATAGATTGAGTTAACATTGAATAGATTGAGTTAACATTGAATATTACCAGATATCTTTATGATAATTCTTTTTCGTCTTATGTTCTTTCTTTCTTTACAGTGTGTGAAGGGAATTTTGGACAAAGTGTTTGCAAGTAAGTCAGATGTTATTATATTTTACTACATGATGTAATACATGGAGCTAGACAAATGTACAGAAATTTTGATATTTATGTAATCATCCTTTCAAACTTTTGAACCATTAAACTGCACAAAAAATAATGGAATTGCAATATGAAGTGTTTATTGATAGTTCAATTAAGATGTGAAACTTATGTAAAATATAGGCTCATAAGAGAGAACGCAATTCCTTCTGAATGATAATAATAGTGCTTAAATATGCATTTATGTAGCTACTTTAAAGTACTCTCATGTACTTTAAACAAAGTATCATATTATTACCCCAGCTTTCAATGAGTTACAATGGTACTCAAGCATTCAATGAATTTCTTATTACTGGGTTCCCACTTACTACTTGTACATGTGCAGGGTAAAAAAAATTTGTAAGTATTTACCAAGTAAGAATGTTATTATTCTCAGGCCTGATAATTACCCGATTTAAATCGGTTTCCTGATATTTTTATTTTTTCCCGATTTTTTTTTTACCCATTTTTTTTTTTCTTCCTGATTTTATCCCGGTTTTCCCGATATTACTCTATTCTTTCTTATTTTTCCCAAGTTTCTTACTCAAAAGGGGGAATGTTGTTAGATGCCATTCCCCCCCCCCCCCCCCCCGAATCCTCCTCTTTTCTTTGTTTTTTTTTTTACTCAAGGGGGGCGTGGTTGAGGAAAAAAACAACCTATTTTTTGTTTAGTGCTCACTATCATCCCTGTATTCTATAATTCAAAGTTTCAAACATTTCATGTTCTCTTTTCATTCATCCAGAGCTTATAGAAGCAGCCCATGACAGCAAAGCAAAGTTTGACAACCATGAAGGTTTGTTGCCAATGGAGAAGATACAGAACCGTGTGTCAAAAGAATCTTGCCAACAGTTTGCTATTCATCATGTCACTCAACTCCTGTGCCACAATCCAACCTTCTCAGGTAGACCAATATTTTAGAAAAATGTGGTGTGATTGTTGTTAAACTTTCTTGCTGTGTGTATATGAGTGTGTAAGAATAACTTGAGAGGATAGGACTGTTTGTTTAAGGAAGTCAACTAATCGATTTAACATATTGTTAAGATAAGTCATAGGATGAACAGGTTGATGAATTGACGATAGATTAATGTGAAACCTTAATATACAGATGCGATTTAAAATGTAAGTGGGGGGGGGGGGGGTAAATAATACAGAATAAGAATAACTTTGAGAGAAATAATAAAAAATAATTAATAATAATTAGATCATTTTATATAGCGCACTATATAAATATACTCTACTGCACAATCAAGTATATTGTGGGGGGAAAATCAATTCAGTGTGGAATATAAATCTGGGATCATTCTCTTTCACGTTGAAAAAGCCAAATTCTTTAATTTTTTTTCTAATGTTACTAAAATTCACCAAAATATAGATTTATATTTTTGACATTTACATTTTTATTGGTGAGTATAAATCTCTTTTGTTTTTCTTACTTTATTCACAGTTACAGATGCTATAGGCAAGCAGCATGAATGGAGCTTTGCAAAGGCATCTCCTTGCACTGTTGGTTTATTCAGGCAACTATTGATACCACTACAAGAAACTGATGCTGTGGGACTATTGAGGAGAGTCTTGGACCAGGAGGAAGTATGTAGCTCATTTTTATGATAGAATGATATTGATGTGGTATTATGATAAATGAAGTATGCAAATTTTCCTATGTGATGTGATTTGTCTCTGTTTTTTTTTGGTATTTAAAAAAAAATCCATATAATCTCCTTTACTTATGCATTGATCTGTCTTTCACTAAAGCATTAAGGAATAAGAATTTGCTTCACTTTGCTTCATTTTCAATAGAAGAAATGCTACTAATCTATTTAATTTCAGTTGATTTCATTAGAGATTTTTAATTTTTTTATTGCACATTCATATAATCACATTTGTATAGGTAAACTGGCAATCAACTCTAATCTACACTTCAACTATTGTGATCTATTATCCTCTGGCCCAACAGTTAGTCAAAAGTAAGTCACCATTGTTATCCCTACTCTTCTTTCACTGTGTGATTAAAATAACTTTTACACACTGTGTAAGAGGGCAAGTCCATGGTATGTACCATCATTGATTTATGAACATAAAGTGACATAAAATTATGATTTTATTTTATATTTTGTCTCATTCAAGCTCTAGTATTAAATGCTAACAGATGGCTACAGTTGTGTTGTAAGATACACTGAAATCTTAGATATGGTAGGTGACATATAGGACGCATAATGGCTTGTACTTACCCATAAACAAATTCATTGAATATTGGTCTTGGTGTAATGCATCAGCATAGAAAAATGGAGGAAATCAAAACTACAAATAAAATATATGTTTGGCAAATAACAGTTGTAGTTCTCTCACTCTCTGTCTGTCTCTGATTTTTCCTCTCTAATTTATCTGATGACACATAAATTTCTTTACAATTTTTCACTTTCATATCCTTCTTAATTGTTGTCATTTCAAATCTCTCTCTCTCTCTCTCTCTCTCTCTCTCTCTCTCTCTCTCTCTGTTTCTGTGTCTGTATGTGTCTGTCTGTCTTTCTGTACCTCTCTCTGTCTCTCTCTGTCTGTCTCTCACACACACACACAATCTGCCCCCAGAATTCTGCTCTCTGTCATTAGATTTTCCCTGTCCGATTTATAATGGACATTTCTTTAAATATTCTTCCCCTACTTGTTATATCTATCACATTAATGATTGAATGTTCATCTCTCTGTTGTTCCATTGTCTTTATACAGAGTGCATTTCAGACTTCATTGAGCAAGCTTTTGAGAGCTATGAGGAAGATCTTCTGATCTGTGCCTTCCTATTGGTCAGACAGGCAGCCAATGAGGGCCCTCATGTCTTCCCTTCTTATGCTGCATGGTTCAAGGTAAAACACACAAATAATAATAATGATATTACAGTGAAACCTGTCTATAAAGACCACCCTACGGAGACAAGAAAAGTGGTCTTTATAGACAGGTGGTCTATTTGTACATGTTCCTTTAGTATATGTTTCCATGAGAGACCATTTTTAAGGGAAACAACAAATGTGGTCTTTCTATACAGGTGGTCATTAAGGCAGGTTTGACTGTAGTGGGTTCTTGTATTGCACTCGTGTCTATCAGACTTGTAATATTTGGATGTTACCAACCCATTGAAATAAAGAGAAAACTATGTCCTGTCACAAAGAATGTTACTTTAGAGGTACTTTAGAGGGAAAGGATTTTAAAGTCTTTAAACCCTAGGTGCTTCTATACCCAATGTATCGAACAAGGTGACAAAAGGAGGATTAGAGTTCTATAGAAATGTATGTGAAGAGATTGTCCTATAACATGGTACACTGATTAAGCATATCATGTTCTTTACTTTGTCTAGCTATCAAAGCAACAGCAGAAAAGCTTAATGGTAGATCAAAATGAGACCATTAGCCAGGGTTCTAAAAGAGTTAAAGCTACAGGTACTACAACAAATATAAGATTAGACTAACAAGAGTATTAAATGACCCCTGCTCAAAATATGACTATTAGAATGTTTGATGTTGCCAAATTTCTAACTTACTTTAAAAATAGTACCCGGTATACTCTTTCAGGAAATGCTAAAAATAAAATTTAACCATCCTGAACAAATACACATTTATTGAGCTCCAACTGAAAATCACAACATTTCAACATTTTGGTGGTTTTGTTGTGACTGATCACCATTATTGATCTGTTTCTATTATCCCTGTCCAGGAGACATTTTCTTCATCATCTACCTTGGCTCACAGGAAAGCGTTCGTGTTTCTCATGGAGTTTCTCACCAAGCTTGTACCTCATGAAACTGCTGTATCTCTCAGAGTAAGATAACTTATGAGTTGTACCTTTCGGTTCACTAGAACCTTTACAGTGCTAGGCACGAACCACAGATATGCCATATATCTTATGCAGTGTGCTGGTGTTTATCTGTTATAAGCTCTAGTAAATCTTTCTGATTAAATTGCACTGTAAATATGAAAAGTTGTACATACAAAGCATGCTAGGAACATCATAAACTTGATATACAAAATGTGCTTATCAGTACTTTGAAATAAAAATCATACATACCATCTCTGATTGACAACTCTGCCAGTTTCAGAGTTTAAGGATATGAAGTAACTCTTCCTGACTGCATATTGTGTCTTGATCACTCAGGTGTACCCTCAAATATCTCTTTCCATGTTAGAAATTAAATCAGTGGTATGTCCCAATGTAAATATACATTATGTTTACATATACGAAATGTTGCTGAACACAGCAAAAAACAAACTATACTGCCAGAATGATGTCAAAGGATCATTGATAACACTTGTTGGTGCAATTTCTCCTATATACCGCATCCTTCGCTTTTCTTCTACATTGACAATATTACAATATATGTTTACTATAGTACTATACACACAAAAAAGAAGGTGTTTTTAGTATCTTTGTTTATTTGTTTCCAGGCTCATGTGCAGAACCCACCCACTGCTCCATCTAAATGTCAGGAGGTTCTGAGAGACTACTTGCTCTTAGCAAAGACCAGGCTCTCTGACCTCAATGTGAGTACAGACACAAGAACATTTTACCATGCTTTTAACTTCTCCATTGATAAATGACATACATGTTAGATGCTGTTTGTAAGTGTCGGCTTGTAAGACATGCATGCTACATTTGCTCTCAGCTTTATTTTGTCAAGAGATCTAGGTTTTGGGCTTGGGTTGAGCTAAAGATGAGGTTTAGGATTAGTATTAGGTACGATAAGATTTAGATATGATATTGGGTCTGATATGTGTTAGAAATTCACTACAGAATAAGGTTCACTGAAGCATATACGCTGGTTAAGTGTGACGTAATAAAAAAAAAAATCATTTTCCGAAAGAGCATAAAAAATAATGTCAAAAACCAATTGAATATGTTAAGTATTGGCTGAGATATGACCATCTAATTGGATTTCGACATTTGGACATTATTTTTTTATGCTCTTTCGGACAATGAAACAAAATTGAGAAATTCTAAAACTAGATTTTATGATGTCACAGCTTCGGTACTCTATATGGTCAATCAAAATTTGTATACAGATTATTTTAACTTTGCGTATGTAATATTTATTTTGAGTAGCCAGTGGTTTCATTAAAGATTTGTTTAATTTTCTCCAGGAATCTTGGCAGGATAGTGGATTTCCTGGAACACACAAACAAACAGCAGGAGCTAGGTGTGCAAGGGTAAGACATCTTCATATTGTTCCAGGAAACAACTTATCCCCAAATCAATTGTTTATTTGTGGTTTTAGGGCTACACATAGATATTAGATTGGCTTTTTTAAAATTAATGAAGACCAAATTGATATTGATATTGATATTGATATTTTATTCCCTTTACTGGTATATTTGTTTATAATTGATTGAAGAGATAAGATTGATGAATCTACTAAAGAATACAAAAATTAGGCTTAATGTTTGTCTCATTACAGTGCATCTTCAATTTGGTAATAGCTGTGGCACGAGATACATGTAACATCAGGAAATATACTCCCAAAGAGACATATTTTTATGCCTCCGTTACGAAGTAGCCGGAGGCATTATGTTTTCGGGTTGTCCGTCCGTCCGTCCGTACGTACGTACATACGTACTTACGTCTGTACGTACGTATGTATGTACGTACGTCCCGTTCTTGTGATCGCGTTATCTGAAGAACCGATTGATGGATTCCTGCCAAACTTTGGTCATGTATGTATCTTGCAGAGCCGATGAACTGAATAGATTTTGGGGTCACGAGGTCAAAGGTCAAAGGTCATAGGGCTCATTAGGTATGCAAAAACAGCTCGTGATCGCGTTATCTGAAGAACCGATTGATGGATTCCTGCCAAACTTTGGTCATGTATGTATCTTGCAGAGCCAATGAACTGATTAGATTTTGGGGTCATGAGGTTAAAGGTCAAAGGTCACAGGGCTCATTATGTATGCATAAACAGCTTGTGATCGCGTTATCTCAAGAACCGATTGATGGATTGCTGCCAAACTTAGGTCATGTATGTTACTTGCAGAGCCGATGAACTGATTAGATTTAGGGGTCATGAGGTCAAAGGTCAAAGGCCACAGCACACATTATGTATGCAAAAACAGCTTGTGATCGCGTTATCTCAAGAACCGATTGATGGATTCCTGCCAAAATTAGGTCATGTATGTTACTTGCAAAGCCAATGAATTGAGTAGATTCTTGGTTCATAAGGTCAAAGGTCAAAGATCATGGGCTCATTATGTATGCAAAAATAGCTTGTGAACGCATTCTCATTAGAACTGACAGATGGATTACTATTTAACTCAGGACATCTTGCAGAGCCAATGAACTGAGTAGATTTTAGGGTCATGAGGTCAAAGATCAAAGGGTCATATATGTATATGAGAAATTGCTTGTAATCACGATATTCTGAGAACCTGTCAATGGATTACAATTGAACTTGAATTCGAAAAATTTCTTCTGTTTTGGTTTGTAAAATTGCTCTATGACGGAGGCATCATTTTCGACTGCGCGCAGTCGAATTCCATCTAGTTCTCTATATGTAGACAATTTTGTTAATAAAAAAGATGTAGTCTTGTTCACCAAATAAAATGATGATAATTTTTTCCCCTCTTTCCTTGTATCATATGTGAAAAACTTGAACTAATATTATCTTCTCCTGTTGACAGCCTCAAGACCAGGCCCGTAATGATGTGGATATAGCTATAGAATCCTATGAGAAGAACAACAGAATCCCAACAAATGTGTTGGAAGCAAGGTACGTTCCTTTAATCATCCTACGTGCCTTTTTATATACAGTTATATAAATAGCCTGTATGTGTGCATAATTTTTACAAGATGTAATCAAACTCAGATATTCATTTAGTTTTACCAGCGTATTGTCCTATCCATGGTACAGTCAAACCTGTCTATAGCGACCGTCGAAGGGAAACATAAAAATTGGCCTTTGTAGACAGGTGGTCTTTGTAGACAGGTTCCTCAAGTACATGTTTCAATGAAAAACCATTTTCAAGGGAAACAAAAAATGTAGTCCTTGTAGACAAGTGGTCACTAAAGCAGGTTTGACAGTACATGCATCATGTAATGGCTGTTCTACTTTGTTATTATTTATAGTTAGGATACAGGTTGCATGTAAAATTGTTACTGCACTAAATTTGATAGAAATCCTTACCCTCAAATAGTCACTACATTTCAATGTACATTAACTACAGTCAAACCTGTCTTAGGGGACACCTCTCTGTAAAGGTCATCTGTCTAAAGTGGTCACCTGTATTGTTGCCTCCCTCAAAGTATTGAAGAACCTGTATAGAAAGGCCACCTGTCTACAGTGGCCACATTTTGTCTCTCCCTTGGGTGGCCTTAAAGGCATTGTGTAACATTGTTAACTCTGAGATGCATGGCCCTACGTGTTATCAGTATCTGTGATATGGTGTAATATTGAAGCCCTAAAAAATTGCGCTTCAAAATGATCATGAAGTGCCTCAAAAAATTAAAAATCTTTGAGTGACCAGATTTACCATACTCATTTTCCCCAATAGACTGTAGTGTTATAAAAACCGTTCAGAAAACGAAAATGAAATTTTGATTTCCAATAATAAATATCTTGATAATCAGACAGGCTATCGGCTTGTAAAAGTCATAGGATTCCTGACTGACCTAAAGGTTTACAATTATGATTTTAGCATGGGCTGAATCCAGGATTTTGTTTCAGAATCTGAGGCAATGATACTGCATCACTTTGATAGACATGTTTGACTGTGTATTCTTCAGAAGTATGTTTTGTCTATTCAAGTCTAATCTATCTGTGTTTTACATTCATTCCAGTATCTTCCGGAGACCCTATTATGTGACTCACTTTCTTCCAGCTCTTCTGACCCCTAGAATGGTGAGTTATGAACTTCTGTAAACGCTGTTATTTTTCGTGTGATTAATTTTTCGCGATGAGCGGCCCCAAAATGTATTTGCGGGTTCTTAAATTCGTGTCTCTAATTTGCAGGACTAATCAGTGCAGGGGTTGTATTTCTCTTGTGTCTGTTATATAGGCATATATTTAGGAGTATCAAATTCAAGAGCAATTTGTCCAGCAGATGAAATGCCCAATTTAAAGACCCATATACCACATATAATTCTGATATTATATACAATCATTATGAAATATTGTACTCATGAACTTACTTTAATTTGTTTTATAATGTGTAATAAATTCGATTGTAGCACAATGTTATTTATACATTCATGTATCAGACTCGACAGTTTCTTTGACTTTGTGTACATCATATCTACCTTTGTTATCTGTCTGTTGATATCTGGGTAATTCCATAAATTAGGGACCCACTTTGTGACATTTTTGGTGTCCCACTTAATACATAAGGAACCGACACATATTTGTGGCTCTAAGTATTGTAAAGTGATTTCCAAGCATAATATTGCATCCTCATACCTAGAATCACTTAACAATCTATCTCCCTAATTCACGGAATTACCCATCTTTATTTGTATTTGAAATCCAAACTCAAGTTTTTGTTGCAATAAAGAAATGATAATGATAAATAAAAATAGGGCCTGAAAGTAATGTAAGATTTGTGAGCCTGTGATTCCACTTTAATCTGTATATTAATGACCACCGCTTGATTTCTTTTCATCTTTTTACTTCAAGTTACCTGACATTGCAGATGCAAAGATGAAGCTAATAGAGTCACTGAAGAAGTAAGAGAGATACTTTCAAAGATTGTGATAATCATTAGCAGACTGTAAGAAAAGTGGAAGAAAATAATGAAATAAAAATCAATATAAGTTACAAATGTTTACAAGTTTAATCAAGCTCTGTCATGAATTTTGGAAGTATTGCTTTGAAGGTGCTGTAATAGGTGATAGGTGAAAATGTGAATGAGGTTAAGGTAGTTATCTGAATCTGTCTGTGTGTATGTTAGCTATCTATCTATCCATGTATCTCTTTTGTACAATACAGTCAAACCTGCTTTAGTGATCACCTGTATAGGAAGACCACCCTGTCTACAATGACCACATTTCTTGTTTCCCTTGAAAATGGTTTATCATTGAAACATGGACTAAAGGAACCTGTACATACATAAAGACCACCTGCCTATAAAGACCACTTTTTTGTTATCCCTTGCGTGGTCTTTATAGACAGGTTTCACCGTATATCTGTTCCATTCTGATGTTTTCTGTTTTGTCTGTAGTGCCAACAAGATCCCAGTTGCCTTGTACCAGCACTATGATGAGGCCTGTGCTAAAGAACTCAATGAATTATTAGATGGTGAGTAGCATGTTACACTCAGGAAAGTAGGGAAATTGTTGATGTCATTTTATTACTTAGGAATTTCATTCTTTATAAAAGGGAGGTACGGTATATATTGATTATTTACTCAAAATAGATAAAAGTTACTTCATAAAATGTTAATAATTCATACCAATTAATAAGGACATTGATGTGTTTTGAATCTGAATCCGAATCTGATTTAAAGATACTATGTCCCTTTTGCAGCCAACATCAAATTCTGTAGAACTTTGCAGGAATTATGAAAAGCTATTACTAATACTCGCTCAATAGCTCTATAGTCGAGTCAACAACTAATAGTCATTATTTTCCCACTTCAAGACATTTTCAAGCCCCCCTTTTTTTAGGGAAGTTCTAAATTAGTATTATCTTTCAAATTCCGTTGGAATTTAACCTTTTCATTTTTTTTGGCCTGCAAATGGGACATAGTACCTTTAATCTGAATTTGTAATCATCTTAATTTCATTCATCTACTATACATCTCCCTTATATTTTATCGCCACAGGAGCCTTTTCTGAGGATGCAATGGAGGACTGCCTGGAGCCTCTAGATGCCCTAAAGGCTAGTTTAGACAAGCTCAAAGGAATTGTAGTTAGACTGCAAACTTGTCAGAGCAATGATACAACTATTCAGGGTAAGAAAATAATCATATATTACAATATCATATCATCAAGTTATACAGGTTACCAAGCAATGAGAATGTGACTTAATGAATGCATAGGGTTCCAGAAAAGACATGTCTTTGAACTCTGGTTGAGTGCTTCTCTTGAAATGTCTAATTATCTCTAGGGGAGTTGACAGCTCAGGTGACGCTCCTCTCAGACAAGATGGCTACAGCTCTTGGTCTTGATGGCTCACCCTCAGAGCCTCTCTCTGATGTAGCAGCCATTACCTGTGTAGACCTCAAGGAGATTAAACCAAGTGTTCTGCATAAAGAGGTGAGACATCAGTATATTGTTGCTTGTTTAATGCAGTTTTAGTGTTTTGCATTTGTGAACAAACTTTTGATTAAGCTTCGTTAGGTTTTACTCACATGTTTTGAAAGGGCTTCCCAGCTTCAAGAGCTCTAGATTCATTGAGAACATCAATTTGGTTTCATGATGTTTCGGTCACTGTACACAAATCAAGAGAATGGCAAACATACCCATTGGAAGCTGTTTATTACCATCAAGGGTATTTTATACCTATATCATTTGAACCTTTAGACAATCTTGCCTGTTTTTATGTTCTATGTTATAATGTGGTTACAGCTTACATTACTTTCCAATCTTCCAAATTCTGCTTATCCCCTGTTCTAATATGCCTGTTTGTTTTTACAAATCTTGCCTGTGATGTAGCTCTGTACTTTAGATGCTCCTAACTTTTATACTTGACACAGCCATAGAATGTAAGGGCTAGGCTCAGTTAAAGACTTTCTGGAATTTTGTATTTGATTTTCCACCTTATTTCATCCTTCCGCCTTCATTTCCCTAAATAGGTTGCTGAAATAGTACTGGACGCTTTTAGCAAGATCTGTAAGGATGCAGAGGTGATAAAGCAAAGACAAGGAGGGGTTGGCATGGGAAGCTTTCAGATGGTGTGGGCTCGTCAGCTGGTCTCAATGCTGAGTGGATTCACAGAACTGTGTACTGCCCTCTATCATAGGGTTTGGATGCTTTGCTGTCAGCAAGTGAGTATTCTTACCATTTATTAATTGTTATCTTTGAACAATGTATATTGGAAGAAAAAAAATTCTCAGCTTGAAGTGTACAATTACATTTTGCATTGGTATGAGATAAAACTTATACACTTTTTCATTTTTTTTTTATTTGTTATCTAAATGTGTGACATCTTACAATGATGATGATGGAGATTATGACGATTTGTTTATGTTGAGTGGACATCACATTGTGATATAATGTCGTTATACGTTCTCAAAAAAACTTTTAAAAATTATTATCTCGGCTTGATAGTGATGTTGAAAAATGTATGATAATGATAATCCTGGTAATAAAGAAGATGATGATGATAATGTTGGTGATTATGATGATAATGATGATAATGATAATGACATACCAATGAAGATGATCATGATGATGATACCTGTGATGGTGGTGTTATTTATGATGACAAAAGTCACAAAACGATCATGACCTGAAATTGTCATTTGTTAAATTAACATTTTTTTTCTCCATGTAACACCGTTGATGAACAGTTAAATTGAATCTTCTCATGCTTTAGGTCCAATCAAAGACTGATGCTGCCATTGTTGGTGTTGCATGTTTCCTGTTATTCACTTACACCTTGAGGTCTCAGTTCCCATCTGTCAGTGGAAACTCAACCTCATCCAATAGCAAGGTAGATGCTCCATTATTTAAATGGAATTGGTTTTTAGAAAGAAAACAGATATAAAAACTTGACCCAACTGGAAAATACAGCACACAGAACTGTACCAATCCTACTGTTCTCTGGATGTGAAAAGATGATGTAATTAGATGGAATTTTCCCTCTGAGTTTACTGCAATACAATCCCTTTTGCCATTCTGTCCTTCCTAAATCGTAGATTTGACATGATATTTTCATAGTACTCAAATAATACTTAAGATGAAACAGTAGTTTTATTTGTATGTAGACCAGGTATTGGTCATATGAAATACCCATAACCATGCCCCCCCTGAGTATTTCCTATGATTGGGGAAAATGTGAGCAAGTATTCTAGAGAACACCTATCATTGACATTTGGGAGGTAAATAATTTAAAACCATTTAACTCTTCATTCTGCCAAATCTTTGGTATTTCCAACCTCATAGAAGATCTTTGCATATCCAATCATGTCATAACTTTCTTTCATATGTCTCCATGAATTTGTGTCAAATTTGCATCTTTCTATTTGTCTGCCGATCAGACCCCTTGCAGTCTTCTAGAAGCTATCAGCTCTGAACTCTCTATCAACACCTCACAACAGATGCTGTTTACTGCAAGGTCAGTAAGCGCAGTATTGAAATATGTTTAAGGAATTCCAGATGAGTACAAGATGTGGTGTAAGGAAAAACATCACCAATCAACTTGTCTTTTTATTAATGTATTCAATTTTAAAAAGTTGTTTCTTTTTTCAATTATGACACACTTTTAGATAATTTTTACCCCATATATTTACCTGGTTTTATGAATACCCTTTCCAGTTCTGATTTACTTTTCTACAATAATTGCAGTGACTTTCTACAATGTCTCCTCAAAATCTAACAACACCTGCCAAAGTAGTATAGGCCAAATGAGCTTTTGTTTGAAACATTCCAGCTCCAGAGACTTAATTCAATTTAAAGAAATATATGTCATACATCTTCTCTTTCAAATCTATCTCTGACAGGTTTACTTCAGCGCTCCTTCACCTTTCTCTCTGCATTTCTGCGAGTGAGTCAGGAGCTGCATCATTGAGTGATAAATTTAGAGCAACTCAACTGCCACCGGTTGCTGTAGAAAAAGTAAGAATTTTGCTCAATCAAAATAATTCTATTAGAGGTATTGGAGGAATAGTTTGGAGCAAATCTGAACTAGTAATGTTCATAAATTGTGACACTGATAATGCTTAATATTGATATTTAAATGGTTCTCGAAAATTAACCTGTCTTTGTTTTTCTATTTTAAACACTGAATGTTATTTGAAACTGTCAAATCTACTTTTTTTTGCATTTTACGAAATATTATTATTCCTTGTTGCACAATGCAACCAAAAACATGGATAATTATAATTTGTTCAATATTTGTTTTTATTGTTGACTTTCTTTTACAATTAAATTTAAACATGTGCAATTGAAGATAACTTTATCAGAGCATGTGTATCATATTTACTTCATAGTTCTTCCATGCTCTATAAAATGAATCTGTTTTACAGACTTTGGGTTGTTTGAACTTATGTGAACTATTGTACATGTGACCTTTAGTGAACTGAACTACTTTCTGACACACTAGAGGAGAGTTCATGACTGAAGAAGGAATGATGTAGATTACTGAAATCAAGCATCCTGTAATGAACATCATAGCCCCCTCCATCTCACATTCCAAATCAACAAAGTTGTTAATTTCATTAGCCCACCTGCCAATCATGATGTTAATTTCACCAGTGTATGTCATTTTTTAGAATGCATGTAATCAACAAGTAACTTGTTACTATCTGTCAATCAAAGTTGATGCCACAGTCAAACATCTCGGTTTGTCAAAGTCACTATCTTCAAGGTCATATTCAACATATATTCTGGTTCTGACGAAAAGCTTTAGTGTGATTCATCACCACTTTACCAAGTGCCATGGCATTTTTATTATAACACGAGTTTGATTTGAGCTTCAGAATTTTGTGAGAATCATGAATAATCATCCCTCAGTCAGAAGAAAATGAAAAATAAAGAGAAAGAAGAAGACCCCCCCCCCCCCACAAATAGACACCCATTTGCTTGATACCTATAAGCTATTTGAGAAAGCTGTATATCCTGTTATTTTGACAAAAAAGGGCCTGGAGCAAATGTTTACTAAGCATGCATGCTTGGGGGGGGGGGGGGGGGGCTTGCATTGGACACCAATTTATATATAACCTTAGTGTACACACAATCAGTAAATGCCCCTGGCACCAACAACAGAGTCATATAAAAATACTGAAAATATGGATATGCTGCTTTCACCTTGCTTCTTCCAGTTCTGTTTCCTCATCCCAAGACTATGTCCTGAGATGAGAGTCACTCTAGAGGACTGTCCCATGGAAGACGATTACCATGATGCCTCTCAGGATGATGTGTTACTTGCCATTGGAAGGTCAATCATCCCATCATCTGCTTTCAAGAAGATGCTACCAGAATCTAAGGTATGTACACATGCCAACGTGGACCTTCCCACCCAGATTTCCAAAGATATTCATAGGGCTGCCAACACTCACGCATTGAGCGTGAGACTCACGCATTTCACTCAATTCTCACGTTCTCACACTAACAATGAAATTCCTCACGGACAATCTTAAAATAACTAAATAATAATAAAAACAGATAAATTTGAATGAATTATGCCACCAAAATCAAGAATTTAGAAAGTTTTCCCACCTTTTATCCCCTTTTATCGAAAACGAAAGCCTTGATCTCACTTCTCGCGTGCATGCGTGTGTAAGATCGGCGCCTATATAGCTAGCTAGCCTGATGATGTACTATCCTCGCACAGTACCTATATTCATATGCAGCTAGCCGGGTCAGCCCGAGCCTGCCCCGGCCCCAAATATGGATCAGACGAACCAGCAGCGAGCTCGAGTACGTCATCAGTAACAGTTGACAATTCAGTTGATCGAGAACAGCAAAGATTTCACGGTTCTGTGCTTTGTTTTTAAAGAGGGCCTAATATTACTTCATACAGTAGAATAGAATGAGAGGGATTATAAAAATATAAAGTGAGTTTTGAGAGTAAAAATTGACTTGTGATTATGTAACAACTTAAGGTTGGACGAGAACTTGCCTGTGGCTTTGTCTCAGAGAGTGAGCATGTGGGGCCCTTGATCAGCACCTCCCTCTACGCCTAGCCCAGCGGCCAACGTTCATGGGCAAACAATCGGGTATTCCATGTTAATAATTTTCTTTATCTCTCTGTTATAGCCTGTATGATTTTCTCTCTCCATTTTGCCTTAAGCTATTTCAGAATAAGAATTTCACCTTGAAAAATAAAAAAAGCTCTACACTGTGGGAGGGGGGGGGGGGGGGCCAGTAAGAAAACCAGCTGGTTTTTAATAAGTAAATTGAAACAAAGTGGCAGATATACCAATTGAATAGTGGAACCAGTATGGAAACCAGTTGGAAATACCAGTTGAATAGTGGGACCAGTGAGAATACACGTTGTAAATAACCAGTTGAATAATGGGACCAGTATGGACACCAGTATGGATACCAGTTGAATTACCAGTCGGATAGTGGGACCAGTATGAATACCAGTATGAATACCAGTTGGATAGTGGGACCAGTGTGAATACCAGTATGGATACCAGTTGAATTACCAGTTGGATAGTGGGACCTGTATGAATACCAGTATGGATACTAGCCTATCCGATATGCGTCGTGCTTTACAAGTATTCTAATCGCGTTTAACATCGGCACGGTCAGCCCGAGCGCCTATCATCACTGGTGCATGCGAAAAGTTTTATTTTCTTTTATATACCATGTTTCGTTCATAGAAAATCTACGAACCCCCTGTAAAGCTCTTTCATGAATATTTATGTAGCATGGACCAAAATAGGCCAATGAGCGATGAGGAACCCGGAGATGATATTTGATTGGTTGAATCAAAGTGATCGATCACCAAATAAGGCTAGTCTTATGAATCATGCATGAGAATACGCTCGTCTCACTTACGATACACAAATATGAATAATGATGAGTTGACCAGTGATGATAGGCACTCGGGCTAACGCCCGCACCGATGTCAGTCTCCCAAACGCCATTAGTACACTTGCCATTTAGCCCGACGCCTATCGGATAGGCTATATGGATACCAGTTGGGTAGCGGGACCAGTATGAATACCAGTATGGATACCAGTTGGATAGTGTGACCAGTATGGATACCAGTATAGATACCAGTTTGATAGTGGGACCGTTATGAATACCAGTTGGAAATACCAGTAGAATAGTGAGACCAGTATGGATACCAGTTGAATTACCAGTAGGATAGTGGGACCAGTATGAATACCAGTATGGATACCAGTTGGATAATGGGACCAGTATGGATACCAGTTGAATAATGGGACCAGCATGGATACCAGTTGAATTACCAGTTGGATAGTGGGACCAGTATGAATACCAGTATAGATACCAGTTGGATAGTGGGACCAGTATGGATACAAGTTGAATTACCAGTTGGATAGTGGGACCAGTATGAATACCGGGTGAATTACCAGTTTGATAGTGGGAGCAGTATGGAAACCAGTTGAATAGTGGGACCAGTATAGAAACCAGTATGGATACCAGTTGAATTACCAGTTGGATAGTGGGACCAGTATGAATACTAGTATGGATACCAGTTGATTTACCAGTTGGATAGTGGGACCAGTATGAATACCAGTATGGATACGAGTTGGATAGTGGGACCAGGTATCAATACCAGTATGGATACCAGTTGAATTACCAGTTGGATAGTGGGACCAGTATGGATACCAGTTGAATTACCAGTTGGATAGTGGGACCAGTATGAATACCAGTATGGATACTAGTTGAATTGCCAGTTGGATAGTGGGACTAGTATGAATACCAGTATGGATACCAGTTGGATAATGGGACCAGTATGAATACCTGTTGGAAATACCAGTTGAATAGTGGGACCAGTATGGAAACCAGTATGGATACCAGTTGAATTACCAGTTGGATCATGGGACCAGTATGAATACCAGTATGGAAACCAGTTGAATTATCAGTTGGATAGTGGGACCAGTTTGAATGCGAGTATGGATACCAGTTGGATAGTGGGACCAGTATGAATACCAGTATGGATACCAGTTGGATAGTGGGACCAATATGGATACCAGTTGAATAGTGGGACCAGTATGGAAACCCGTATGGATACCAGTTGAATTACCAGTTGGAAAGGGGGACCAGTATGGACACCAGTATGTATACCAGTTGAATAGTGGGACCAGTATGAATACCAGTTGGAAATACTAGTTGAATAGTGGGACCAGAATGGAAACCAGTATGGATACCAGTATGGATACCAGTTGAATTACCAGTTGGATAGTGGGACCAGTATGAATACCAGTATGGATACCAGTTGAATTACAAGTTGGATAGTGGGACCAGTATGGAAACCGGTATGGATACCAGTTGGATAGTGGGACCAGTATGAATACCAGTTGGAAATGCCAGTTGGATAGTGGGACCAGTATGATTACCAGTATGGATACCAGTTGGATAATGGGACCAGTATGGAAACAGTATGGATACCAGTTGAATTACCAGTTGGATAGTGGGACCAGTATGGAAACCAGTATGGATACCAGTTGAATAGTGGGACCAGTATGAATACCAGTTGGAAATACTAGTTGAATAGTGGGACCAGAATGGAAACCAGTATGGATACCAGTTGAATTACCAGTTGGATAGTGGGACCAGTATGAATACCAGTATGGATACCAGTTGAATTACCAGTTGGATAGTGGGACCAGTATGAATACCAGTATGGATATCAGTTAGAGAGTGGGACCAGTATGAATACCAGTTGAATTACCAGTTGGACAGTGGGACCAGTATGAATACCAGTATGGATACCAGTTGGATAGTGGGACCAGTATTTATTTATTTATTTATTTTATTTATGCATGTTCACAATTTCACAATTCATTGAAGTTAACATCACATGAAAATTAATATAAGATGACAAATCATTTTCAATTTTACAATACATTTGAATTAACTTTACGTGAAAAAGAATATAACATTGTTTTATCAAAGACAAGTTGCAACTTATATACAGTTTGAAGAATGAACACACAAAGGTGATGAAACATAAGCAAATAGAGCTTGAATCGTTACAACACCCTTCAAATATATAATATATGACAAATAAAATTCCTAAAGTTTTGTAGTGAACTATTTACACTATTTACAAAGTTTTAAAAAAAGAAAGAATTTTTTTTTTTCGTTAGGCCTAGTAACAAAATTATGTTAGATTTAATTAGAACTGACAAATAGATTATAATGTAAGTAATATCTTACATCTGTGAAATGATAATACACTTGAGTGCTCTTTTAAAAGAGTTTGTTGATTTTATATTTCGAATATCATTAGGTAAAGAATTCCATACATCTGGACCTCTGTGTCTGATTGATTTCTGGGCTAATGTAGTGTGAGGATTGACCACATGTAAATTCGATGACTGCCTTGTTGAATACGAATGAACCATGTTATTAGGTTGGAACATTGAAGATAATGACGTAGGTAATAATTTGATATTAAAACGGAACATAAATATGGCAATTTGGAGGAAGTTAATATCATCAATCTTTAAGCATTTCAGTTTAACAAATAGTGGAGTAGCATGGTCACGATAACCAGCTCGGGTACATATGCGTACAGCTTTCTTTTGTAACAGAAGAATATTATTAGTCACACACTTGGATGTTGCCCACAAAATATTACAATAAGAAATGTGTGGTAAAATTAGACTATTATATAGCATAAGTAATATTCTATCAGAAACAAAACATTTTATTCTATACAGTACGCCAATATTTCTGGAGATTGGTGTAACAATGTGTTTTACATGGTCGCTCCAGTCAAGTTTTTCATTGATATAGACACCAAGGAATTTCGTACATGTCTTTCTCTCTAAAGAAATATCATCTAGTTTAATATTAAGAGCAAGGTTGTCATTAGATTTTCTACCTCTAAAATGAATATAATTTGTTTTAAGAACATTGAGAGAGAGCACATTACTTCTAAACCATAAAGTCAACTTTGGCAGTTCCGAATTTAGTTTCTGTTCTAGAGTGTTGATTTCACGATGAGACAAGAAAACACTCGTATCATCTGCAAATAAGGTATAATTTAAAGTTTTAGATACATTACAAATATCATTGATATAAATAAGGAATAATAATGGGCCTAGGATGGATCCCTGCGGAACACCACATTTAAGATACAGAATGTCAGAGTTAACAGAGTTATAATAAGTGTACTGTCTTCTCATAGATAAGTAACTCGCAAGCCATTGTAAAGCTATGCCCCTTATTCCATAATGCTCTAACTTAGAAAGAAGAATTGAATGGTCAAGTGTGTCAAATGCTTTACTCAGATCCATAAATACACCAATGACATGCTCGTGAGCAGCGAGTGCACTTG